TAAGTCAAGCACTTATATTAGATAGTAATTTGAAACAATACAATAAATGCAGGCAGTAAAGGCACCAACTTCTGTTGTCGAGATATGTTATGATATTGGAAACATGGTCTTAATGAGAGTAGAGGAGTGATGAGCTGTGATTTTCAGGTTAACTCCGTTGGTGCACTGTGTTTGGTTTGTCAGCAGTCTTTGGATACTCTGTGGTTTGTATGTATGGATGTCAGCCAACAGTGCTGCCCCTCACTAGTTTGAGATGCAACTGCAGCTTTAGACAGCAGAGGTCTCCCCTCACCTCAGCCTGACTGCTGTGACTCCCAAATCTCTCATAAGAAGCCGCTCAGAAACCCTGAAAACAACTGGAAGTGACACTATAATGTCAAAAATGGCAATTCATCTTTGAGAGAAAGATCTGTCGCCGAACAAGACGTGATTTTTGCACAGACGGGGCTTAAAGAGTGGCCCCCTTATGAATTCAGATCTTGGCAGAGTTAAGTGAATTTGTAATACATCTTCTTTTATTAATATTCCCCTTTACCTTCCCTTTTCTCCTTAATTATCTCCCCTTTTCAACCTCCTTCCTCTAACGCTCTCCTTCCCCTCCTTGGCTTCTTCCGTTTTTATGTCCCCATGAGATCCTCTAAATGGAGCATTTTGAACTAAGTGTGTCATTCAGTGACCTGATTTGTTTTTCTGCCGTTTTTCATCTTGCGGGTGATTCCCTCTATCGCACAATCACCACTGCTTGACATTCAGCGGCTGGAGTGAGAAATACCGTCTATTTTAATTCACATGATTAGTGGGGGCTAACAGGTTCCAGAAATCCCCCAGAACAACCTGTCTCAGTATTTCATTAAAGACTAGGTCAGTTACAGGAGAGCAACACTGTAATGCTGTGATCCTGCCCATTGACAACATGTTAATGGTGTGTTAATTGTATTTCACACACTAGGACCAGTCATAAATGCCAACTCCTGGTCCTGTAGTCGGAATTTTATTTGGTCTTGTCTCGAGCTTTCAGACTGTAGCCCCTCTCTCTGAGTTCCTCTCGTCTCTTTCAGCTCAATTAATTTTTTAAACTTTCTCTTCCCCCTTTTTTCAGGGTGGTAGATGGCAGAAATGTTTCCTAGCGTACACTGGATTGCACTCCATCTCACTTGGATGTCCACACAGAGACACTGATGTGGCTGTTTCCCACCGGTCCACCCCGACAACCAGTTTGATTAAGATTTCATGAGGTAATTTCTGGTTATCGCTCTCTGCAGCACACCTTATATTCCTCTCTTCTCCATTAGGCGATATTTACTGGCCCTTGCTTGGCTGGTACACCTTTCTGATAATAAGAATCAGCAAAGTGCACAAAAGCTCAACGTGTATGCTTTGTAGCAGCAGTATGCCATTTCAGTGGATCTATGTGTGCGATATTGATTTATCGATCGGATCTTTGAAGTTTCTGACATCAAATGGTTCCCAGCTTGTATGGGCTTACAAGACATTCAAAAGGGGAACATTTCAAAAGATCTTTTACTTCTCCACCTCTGTAGTCTGTCTTTGCTGCCATTTTCTCCTCAGTAAAAGCCCGTTCAACATTTATCTGTAATTCAAAACAAACCAGGAGTCTTTCATTTTGGTGGCTGCACATGGAGCGGTGAAGAACACAATCAGAGTCATCATGTCTACCTAGATTGCCAGGGTAAGGCACTAAATGAGATAAGTTACACATAAACACATTTTCCATCTATATAGTATCAAATCACTATCAAATGATTTCAAATTTTCTTACTATAACAATCAGTATCAAGGAAATCAGTATATGCATTTAAAAGCACGGTATCTGACTCTCATTTGTAAAGAAACAATGAAAAATCAAATGCTGGAAAACGTGTAAACGTAGATGTCGACGATCTAGATTTAAACTTTAATCAAGTACTGGTAAGGTAGCCAGATAGTATTTTTAAAAGAAAATACTGTGAAGCAGACGTGTGACAGCTAGCAGCTTTATAACTCCCAGATACTGTGGCATTACAGCCCTGTGCAATCTTTTGTCGGAGCAGAAATTGACATACTCAAAACGCCACAGAGCCTGATTTTGCAGCCTTTAAGGGACCTAAAAGTCGAGACTGAGCAACCGTGACTGAATTTCCTTTAAGGAGGACTAAACACAGGTTTAAATAAAGATTTGGTGCAACACATGCAAGAAAAGAATGATTCAATCCTGGTTTAGAGTTAATCTTGGTTGGTGCAGCCCATTCTAAGGTTATGAAGTTGATTGGAGGAGCTTATTGTGCACATAGACAAATCCCCACGCATACAGTATGTGATGTACATAAGAAGCCTGCTCTATAGATAGGCATACATGCAGTCTTTGTGCTAAAACTCTGTTATAGACTGTGTAAAATTAAGACGCACTGAATCCAGACCTTTAAGGCATACACTTATAGCTCCTTCTTATCATCTGTCTCAGTGAGAGAAACTATTCTCACCCTGACACCGATAAATAAACACCTGCTGTATGGACCTCGAGGTCATTAAGCTGGTGAGGAAGAGTGCAGCCCGGTGGTCTAATTAATACGCGTTTCTGCCTCCCTGAAAGGTCTTGTTATTCTCTTCCCGGTCTCACACCGGGGCTAGACCAGCGTTTTGTCTGCCGCTCTCAGCCCTTGTTAAAGAGGCGCAGGCTGCCTGAGTTCGTCCCTCCGCCTGCATCCATCCACCAGAGGTGAATAGAACATGAAGGGTTTAGTCAGGCTCAAGAGAGACCATTCAGCCGGGGACGCCTCAGGCAGCAGAGACAGCATTTCACTGGAGGCTTATCTTCCTCCATCAGTCATCTGTATAATGTCACTGGGTGGCAGTGTAATGGAAACAATCACACTGGTATGACCCTTGGTGCAGCTGTGATCCTAGTTGGCATCTTTTTCATATGTCCGTGTTGTTTACCTGCTTCTAGCACTATGTTTGTTCCATCAAGGACATTTGTGCCTTTTCATTGAATAGTATGTGATTGAATTGTGCTACACACTGTACATTTGGTTGTGTTATGTTCTGGGATGTTATCCATACAGCCCATGCCCTTATTCTAAAGCAGAACAGCCACTATAGCATCATCCTTTGGTTCAGTTTCCAAACATAGGGCATGGACCTCGGGTCTCTGCTTTATTTTCTTACTGCACTTGACTTTTTTTAGTTCGCAGTATTAATCTGGTATTGTTTGATGGGAGTCTTTTGAGGTTACCAAGGCAACAGTTGAATGCAGTTTAATTTTGGATGTTCTTTCAATCTGTCTCATTTATTGCAGTTTGAAAATCCTCTAGCAGTGACCTCATAATTAGAATCGTCTTATTCATGTTCACAACTACAGAGTTTTGGAGAGAAATTAATTCCTAACATTGATTAGTAGTTGAACAAAGAACCCCGTGGAATGACTTCAGTCCTCTCTCAGAGAAAGGGAATCCTGTCGTTTCTATAGACTTGGATGGTCATTAAGGTTTTGTTTAAACAAGAGTGTGTCAGATGGCCATAAAGAAAGGTGACAAAGAAAGTCTGGGAGCTCTGCCATGTTCAAGGTGGCCTAGGCCCAGTCCATTAGGACAAATACAGCAGTTTACCAGTGGCTTCATCTAGTCAGCAGCATCAGTCTGAGCCAGTAAGGCACAAGACACATTGCTGTGATGAGTAGGTCCAGATTTAAAAAAAAAAAAAAATTCTCCTCACATTGAGGAGGATTTACAAGCCTTCTTGCTTATAAGAAAATGAAAGTCCAAACATCTGGTGCAATCATGGTACTTAAACAGGCAGAGGCACTGTTTGTCACGGAGCCAGAGGCTGAGTTACACTGCTGGTGGTAAATCTCACAGGAAACAGTGCAGAGGACTAGAAACGCTGCTGCTTCAACCATGATCTGTTCGCTGAAGTCATCACTGGGTCACAACCCTGACGATGTATTCAGCCACAATCAACTCCAGGGCATTTAAGGCAGTTTCATATTTTTCTTATGAGTTAAGATTTACGTCTCCTCGCTGCTTCCTCCCCCGCCTTATCGCCATTGTCCTGAGGAGGAGGGGTCACTGCGGATTTGTGCAGAAAGGAATCACCTTTTAAAGGGGATCTCAATAAAATGAAGCACAGCCACTGGCTGCCGTCCAGTAACAAGTTGCTTTTCATCATTTGTATGTTTGGACCCCTCATGCTCTGCTCCCTGCATGCCAGTCTCTTTATTATGCATCAGATTAACATAAAAAGAGTCTTTGTTCTGGTATTACTTATAACGAACTATTGTATTGAGGATTCTGGTCTTGTGTTATTGTCGTAGTGGTATTCATTTGAGCTCACTGGAGGATCAGTGAGCTGTCCAAACAGTCTAATTCAATTTTATGTTTGTGCTAGTGTGGTGGGGGTGGGAAGACGCTCGATTGTGCAGCAGTGCATACAATGTGTTAATGTGCCAATGGTTATAATTAGCACAGGGATGTAAAGGATTCAGAGCAAGTCATAGTTTTTGAGTGGTATTGATATCATCAGTAGTATTATGCCTTTCAGCTCCTTTGTCTTGTGTAACCCTAAAATGAACACAATCATAACATGGTTAGGATTTTACCATATGCATGTGTATTGGTAGCTTTTGTCTTGTTTACAGTGTGTGGGTTTGTGTGTGTGTGCCTGTCAGTAACAGACCAGACGTGTGCGTAGGGGGGGTCTGTGCGAGTAGTAAGCGCAAAGCCGCAGTGGAGCCCATCCCCTACTCCCTCCCTGAGATGCCTTACTTGTAGTGAGGAGAGGAGCCGCAGCCTCTGGCCACTCCTTCCCCTTCTGCAATTGGAAGAAAGAGGCCACCTCCCTCCCTTTTCCTCATTGGTATGCAAGCGGTGCAGTGTGTGTATGAGGAGAGGAAAGAGAGAGAGAGCGAGGTAGCAGTCAGTGCAATGGGATAGAGGAGAGCGAGGAGGAGGAGGAGGGAGGAGAGTGAATGAGAGCTGCTGGATCTGCCTTGCCTGCATGCCTGCCTGCCTGTCGTCTGCTGAAGCTGGGTTTACCGCCACACTGCACTGGCACAGAGCAGAGTCACGGCCCGTTTGCACCAACCTTCCTCACTCTCAGCACCGGGTTCTCACTCCAGCGACACCACCAGCAAGGAAAACCAGGGACCGAGCTCCCCAGGCTTTCTCCATCATCAAGGAGGGACGCAGCAGCTACGAAGGGGCCTGACGCTACAATTTAGGCACCAGCTGCTACCTCAACCAAATCCCCCTCCACCTTATCCCATCCTTACCAACACCACCACCACTCCTCTCTTGCTCCTCCCTATGCCCTTGTCCTCGGCGGCTCCACTCACCTCCCTGGCCAGTATATGGATAGAAGCTCCCTGTTTCAGCTCATACAAGAGCAGGTAAGCAAGTGAGCATGCAGCGGCAGGGGTTTCTATGGTTACGGGCTCCTGGCCACCTCGCCATCTATCCAGGGATTGAGACGTGGAGGCTGGGGTGAGAGCTGATGTCAGGATTGATAGCAGGGGCTGTTTGCATTGCACTGGCAAAATGAGAACATGAGACAACATGACGGACGCGAGCATCATGGAGCCATGTGGGCCCCGAGAATGTGAGGTCAGATCATGAGCCACAGCATGAGGGGGGTGGGGGGGGGTGGGGGGGGTGGGGGTAGTGGGGGGGCATCATGTCATGGTTCATGGAAGGGATAATTGGAGGGAGGGTTGTGTGAGCAAAGAGATGGATGGTGTGCTCTATATGAATGGATGTATAGGTTGATTTGATTGTTGTATTCTTTATTTGAAGAATCATGTAATAATGGTCAGTTATCAAAGAGAAGTCATGTAGCTGCTGCATTAGCGTCTGCAGCAGTCATGCTGTGTGTGCATGGATGTGTGTGTCTGTACCTGTGAGTGCCTTTTTTCCTTGTGTTATTTTTTTTTTCTTTTTCTTTATCATCTCAGGATCGAAAGAAGCAAAGATTTCAACATTATTCAGCTTTTCATTTCCGAGGGTCAAGCGACGAGGCAGTTTTCTGTGAAGCCTCCGGTCCCGGTTTTTTCCTTTTTAGAATTGAATCTGTGATTTGGCTTTAAACTTTTCCCTCATTTTCAGCCCTGTCGTTGCAGATGATTGCCAAGAAGAAACACAGTGTAGGTGGCCATATTTACACCGGTGAAATATGTTCCTTTTGGCATTTGCTTTCTTAGAGTCATCTACCCGAGCTCCTGTTTTTACTGCCCAATCAGAGCTATGTTTGAATTTAGCTTTGGTCAACCATCTCCAAAATTAACAAACCAGAATGGATGTGAAGGCAGATACCAAGAAAGCATGCATGTATTTGTGTTGTGCTTCCTAAAGACATATGTGATTTTGTGTTTGTGTGTGTGTGTGTGTGCTTGCGTGTGTGTGTGCGTGTATGTATCTCCAGCTTCTATTCCATGTCTGGTATTTAACTCTAGGCTTTCCAATGTGTCTCCTGTTTTTGAACCGGCCTTTTGGGGTTTGGCTTGATTGGCAGATATATTGGGCAATCGTTCTGTCCAAGAGGGAGAAATTGATTATCTGCTGCAGGGTTTTGGGGTCATGAGTGGCCCATCAGCAACGCATTGATCAGCAAACCCAAGAGCCTTCGGGAGACGTACATGTGTTTGTGTGTGTATCTGTGATCGTGTGCGGTTACATTTTTATGAATGTGTGTGGAGGAAGTCCGTGTGGGTTGAGCGAGAAGATGCTCTGTGGTCACACCGGTGAGTCATTTACTGTATAAGCACTTCAGTGATAACAGCTACTTAGTGATACCTCAACAATACATATTCCTTCACAGACACATTTTAAATGCAGTATCAAAGAGGCTGACTCATCTGTGTCAATACCCATTTTTGATGCAGCAGGTCGCTGGGCTGGAGATGAAGCCAATATTTCCACACTGTAAACGGCTGGTTGTTTTATTGATTGTGGGGTTTACTCTGCTTGTGCCAGTGTGTTCATATAGGCAGTTTGCAAGGCTATAGTCGAGCAGGCTACAGTCCTATTATGCTCAAGTCTAGACCAATTCACTCACACTGGCTGACGACGGGCTTTTTCCACTTTTGGGGCTCCATGCAGCGGCCTTTGATTTGGAAAAGGTCTCTCTAATTAAACTAGAATGAAGTGAAATCTGCCAACAGCTTTTGGACTGCGAACAGGCGAGCTTGTTTTTAACAAAGCCCGGCTGCCTGCCTAAACACCGGGCACTTTTTTTCTAATCTTTATCCAGGAAAATGTTTTGCAGAGCATGTCTCATGTTTTGCAGCTCTGCCCTCCATGACCATAGGATCCCCTCAGCCTCTAAGCAAATCCACAAAAGCAACCGGAGGGGCTTCTTGCTGACTTAATCACTGTCACTACTTATTTTTTCATAGTCTAGGGTTTCGAACCTGCAACCACCTTTTTATAAATTTAGATTTGGCTCAACATTCCCTTCAGCCAAACATACACAAGACATTGAAGCCACTAAACTTTAATGCTTTTGGGGTTTCCTGGAGTTTCTTAAAAACAGGATGGGATGTTTTGCACCCAAAGTGAAAGGACGCGTTTGGTTTACATGAGCACTGCAGGTCTAAAGCAGAGGGGAAATTGCAGCCCTGTCACTCTGAACCACATGAAAATGCTGCAGGGGGAGAGAAAAGGAAAGCAACAGTGGCAACAGGAGTGAGTTTATTAGTCTTTGTCTGCAGAAGGTTGCAATGCTGAGCTCAGGCTATTTCTGGCCTATGCAGGCTCACACATATGCTCATGATCAGAGTATGCACACACACACACACACACACAGACACGGTTTCTCTGATAGTCTTTCCATTGCAGTGCCACTGATAAGGCAAGTTGATGGTCGGTAGCACTCAGCCACTAAAGTACGCTATCATTAGTCGCTGAATATCTCCCCTATGTGTTCTTCAATTCTTATCTGGTTTATTTATATCTCTCCCATAAGGACTTGGGGTTCTGAATACTATTCTGACATATTTATGTCAAATAGAAAGAGTAAGGTTCTTATACACTGTCCCCTTTCATCATTTTCTGATGCTGATTTGCATTGAGTTGTACTTGAAAATCCCCCTGGCTGTTTGTACTGTGTTGAAACGCCAGGAAGTGTAGTGAGATGATTGTTTGCATCAAGGCAAATTCCTTGGATGTCTCTCTTCAGTCGTCTCCACCTGGGCCATCACACTGCAGAGCCACAGTGGTAAAGTTTGAGTGTAATGGTGGAAACAGCAGTGCACAACATGCACTGTGATAATTACAGAGTGAGTGGCCCAGTTGTTGGTGAACACCAGTGAATCCTGAGGGCAACAGAGAGGGTTTTATCTGGTGCTATGCAAATGTGCTGTGCCCTGTAAATGCCACTGCCCTCTACAGATACACAGCCCCGTTCAGGCTTGACCATCTTGTTCACAGAGACCAAATTAGTCTGTAGTATTGGCTCTGTGTCAGCGGGTTAGCACTGTGTCACTGAGACTGGGCCTGGAAACCCAGTGCTGCTGCATTCCCATCTCATGGAAGTTATGAGTAAATACTGTTAGTTCAGAATCTAGAGTAAAACTTCAGACTCCAGCTCCATTATGTAATCAAAAGTAAGATAAAAACCAACATTTTGGCCATTGGCTTGGTAAGTTGCTATTAGGACTTTTTCTCCTCTTGCTTTTGACACCACAAAAGTTTTGTTAAAATTCGTTATAAGCTGTAGCTTCAGCCTACACCTTTCCTGTCGGTAGACTTTTTCTGTTGTTTTTTGATGTTGTATAGTTTTATTTTTACTGTAGTGTTTTATGGGAGTAATTGCTTTTCTGTTAAATTTCCTAATGTTGTTTGAATTATTTACAGACCAAATGCTTCTATTTCGAATTCAAAATATCTGACCAGGTGGTAATTATTGCTGTGTAAGTGTGTACAAATATTGCATTCTTCGAAGTCAATCCTAATTTAATGTGACTAATCCAGACAGCAGAAGGTAATAAGATTTAAGCCTACTTCTACTTCTTCTTGTAGATTAGATGTTTGTCAGAAAGTAGTGACAAATGCTGATCATTTCGTTTCCCGGATCTGAAAGTGATGGCTTCAAAGAGCTCGTTATGTCTGATCACCGGCCCAAAACCTCAAGAAAATTCATTTATACTCATAAAAGACAAAGAAAACAGACTTCGCATTTAAGAAACTGGAAGTGGCTCTTTTTTTTGGCTTTTTTTTTTTTGTCATTTTCCATCAATCAACTAATTGATTAATCAACTAATTGGTGACAGTGGGATTAGAGAGTCACACTGGGGACATCTGATTACCTGGTAAAGATAATCAGAATTCTTTTACCAGACGAAAAGCAGGAAGATCCTGATTTTTGCCATTTTGAGTTGCCTAGCAATGAAGGTGAATGTATGCAAATTGTAACCATCGGAATCTTTGCCATCTCTACTTTCTGCCCCATGTAATGTGTATGAGCTACAACGCTGCTAGTGCGACATACAGAGGCTGGCTTATCGTTGACTGTGTGTCAGTACTCTGCCTGTTGGATGACAGGACCTGCTCTGTTTCAGCCCACTGGCTGTACTTCTATCATAGCTGGAGGTTTGGTCCTTCAGCCCCTGTGGACCAGACTGATAAGTCAGTCGTGGGCTGAGGTCAGTCTGAGATGCTGCGCTGAAGGTAATGGAGGTCCTGGGGGTTAACACTGAGATCATTCCCCGACAGTCAGCGATCCACTCCACTTTGCCCCCTTCCTGCTCCTCATACTCCTCATACACATTCATCCTGTCTGGTCCAACCCCTCCCACTTGCTCCTGAACCAGCCTAGTTTGGTTGCGCTCTCTGCCTCAACACCTCCACCTTCCATCCCCGCCTTCCTTCACATCTAAGCACTGCCTCTGTCTTATTACCACTTCATTCTCATCTCATTGGTGTCGCTCCATCCATCTCTATCATCTCAATTCTATTTTTTCTTCCCTTCTCAGGCATCTCTATCCCTCCCTCCTTTCATCGTCTCCTTCTCTCCCCTCCCTTTTGTGTCTTTCCTTTGCCTCTCGAACGCCAATATGTCGAAGGGGGGGGGTGCAAGAAAGGGATGACACACAGGCGACTGGTAACCATGGAAACGCATGCAGCTTGTCAAAGTGTCGCCCTCACCAGTGTTGGATCGCTTCAATAACTGCTTCCCTCTGTGCTTTTGCCCTCCTTCTTCCAACCCTTTCTTCTCTCCGTCTCTCTGTCTGTCCCCTCTCTCTCACTCATGCACGTCACCAGCGTGCCCAAGAAAAAAAACAACAACAACAAGGCTCTTCTTGCCAACACTCATTCATCTCAGTGTACCTCATCTCGCTAATTGATAACCCTAATTGGGTACAAGAACCAATCCTCCACCTCCTTGTATCCTCAGCAGACTGCCTCCCCCGTGCAACGTTTCCTCCTGAATAAGGTCAGACTGCGAAGGGAATAGTATCTGTGCAGTGTGACAGCTCAGCGTCAACACTTGGTTTGCATAAATGTGCGCAGCCATATACAGTGTGCCGCTGTGTCTGAGTCTGTGCCGCTGCTGTATGTGTAGTGATGTGCTGACATATGGAGGCTGACAGTTATCAGACGTCCCCAGTGTGGCTCTCTGTTCCCCCTGTCAGCCCGGGCTGAGCCAGGAGCACATTAGAATCTGATCTATCTCCCCTCCGTGGCAAGTGGATGCAGAGCACTGGAGTGTGTCACAGCCCTCTTATAGGAAAGAGAAGAAGAGGACTCACTGCCTGACTGCTGGGCCCGGCAGACGCACAGAATAACAGCATTTTTATATTCTCTGCGTGGTTTGTCTCACTCCAGTCTCCTCTCTGGCTGTCTCTGTTTTGCTTTCCTCTCTTTTCATGCCTTCTCCCTCCGTCTGCTATTCCCTTGATTTCAACATTTTTCATTTCTTACATTGCACCGACCGACCGACCGACCGACCACCCACCTCTCTCTCCCGTTTGCCACCTCTTTCCACTCTGCATTCTTTTTTTGTGCTTTCTCTTCCCCCTGCATTCCCCACATGTCGTCCTGGCGCCCTACACATCTTAAACACTGGCCGTATCTGCACCATTTTGCTCAGCTCTCCTCAAGGGAAAAGCGGGGCCGTGTTTTAACAAACGTCCATGGAACACACTGTTAAAGGGATTATCTAAAAATAAACCTGGGCCCGTTTTCTTTCCCATCTTTGTTCATTTTTATTCAGGAATTTGGTTTTATGTGTGTTTCAGGCTGCCTTGTAATCGCCGTCTGTCAGGCTCTGCTAACTAGGAGCTGAGTGGTGAGGTTACAGTGGGATATGTGAGGGACAATGAGCAGGAGGGAGATATTCTATGGATCTTCATTTAAAAAAAAAAAAAAAAGAGTCCCCACTCAAACATTGTCCATGATGTGAAGAGTGTTATCAGTAAACGTCCTGGAGTCAACAGCGGTTGTATTTGCACAGATTCTTTGTTTATAATGGATATAGGATTTTTTTTCCCCTTCTGTTTAGAGTTGTGTTTGTATAGAGCATTGTCACTAACGAAATCCCCTCTCTACTACTATCAACCAGCAGTGGGAAAACACTCATTCTGAGTCAAGCATCATCAAAACTAACCCATTAGATCCTGCCTCCACTGCACTCTCCCATGTGAATAAATACATAAGTGTTCAGGGGAATGAAAGAGGCAGATTAAATGCAGTTAAAGGGATGCTTGTGTTCAACTAAATGACTGTAAAACCCCCTGGAAACAGTGTAAGGGGGAAGCAAAGCACATACAGTAAACATGTTCAGGAGGCGATTGATCTTCTTTGCTCCTTCGTTGAGCAGCAGAGCTTTAAGCTCTGAGCCTCCCGCAGTAAAGACTGACACGGCGCAGCGTAGTTTAATGCCGCTCTCCTCATGCAGCCGCTGTAACACCTTTGTCTAACCGTGTCAGAGCAGGCCGGGTCCAGACTAAGGCGGCCTAGATGGGATTCTTCCCGCGGACTCATGACATGGCCAACGATGATCCAGCACGACTGACTCCACACTGACGCAACATCTGAAAGCTCACTCCTCCCTGGGGCAACAAGAGGCTGTTGGTTTACTATCCGAAACCTAATGAGGCTGTGTTAGCATTCAGGAAACAGTAAAATGAGAAGCAGCAAGGGCTCGTTCCATGTGGTCTCTTTGTACTGCTCCAGATTGTCCACAGGCACATTTTCACAAACACAGTCAGATACACTAAGGAGAGCTGGCATGAGAAATTAACACTCCATAGGAGAGCAATTGAATTGCATTTAAGAGGAGAAGGTAAGAGAAGAAAATCAAGTGATAAGTATGTGAAGCTGTTGCCCAAAAACCCACATTACATAAACCAAGCGTAGATACACCCCCTATACTTTACAAGCCATTTTTAACCCGGCGCTATTTTAGACGACTGCACTCAGCCATTTTTATGACACTCTCTCGCTTAAATCAATTACGAGGAGCAGCGGTGGCGTAAGGCATCAGCAGTAATAACCCATGGGACTGTGGGTCTCAGTGAGTGAGTGGTGATTATAAAAACCACAGTGACTGCGAGCTGCAAATGTGACCAAGGACAGACTGACACAGTGAAATGAAGCATCCCCTCAGAAACAAAGACTGAAAAGTCAACCTCATTTAATGCTGAGGATTTTTTATTTTTTTTATTTTTTTCACGGAAACTGCAGGTCACTGCATATTAGAATGACATGCCCGTCTGTCTCCTCTTGCTGCTCCCAACAACAACAACCATCTTGCTGTTTGCTTAGGCAGGCCTGCTCTTGTAATGAGGTTGAATGGGGCATTTTCTTAAGGCAGGTCCAATTCTTTCAAATGCATCATAGAGCCCACACAGCTTCATTAATACAGTGTCACTGTCTGAGCTTATGCCATCAGCCCTGTAGCTCTCATTTGTCTTTTTGAGTATCTGTTGTGTCTCTGTGTGTGTGTATATATATCTCAGCTGTCTTTTACTGATGCATCTCCCTCAGGGCAAACTGTCACTTCATCTCTGCAGTGCTGCTTATTATTAAAAACAATCCTCACAGAGACAATATCTTCAATACAAACTGTTTCTGAGAGTGGGCTGTTGTTTTTGTTTGGTTTTTTCCAGCTGGACCCAGAGAACACCGGTTTCATTGCAGTGGAGAACTTCACCAGCTTGGTGGAGCACCATGAGCTGCAGCTGGACCCGTCCAAACTGGACATGCTGTTAGCCCTCGTCCAGAGCAATGACGAGGGACAGGTGTGCTACCAGGAGCTCATCGAGCTGGTGAGTGGAAACCAGAAGCACCAGAGGGAGACACATAAAAGCATTTCCTGTTCTGCTGCACAGACACAAATTTCCACACATGCTCAGATTTTTGTTGGATTTCAGAAAAGGTTACAGAATTGATTCAGACAGAGCCAGGAAGCTCCGCAGTGGCGAAAATTGACTCAACCATTCAGGTCGTTGTCCTGCTTAAGGAGGATCAATCTTTCCAGTTAATGTGTCGGTAAATCCAGACACTTAACCTCACCAGCCATGCACAGCAAGTACTGGAAAACACCCACACCAAGCCGACAGAACCACAGTATTAAAGCAACAAAATTTATTTATCGTAAGTGATGCATTCAGACACACCTCACTGGCCTACTCCGAACCATTTTATACAGATGTATACTGACATGGGAACAGTCCATGTACTATTATATTCTCTTCACTTCACCTGCAGATGCCTTGTTCTGACTCAGTTTTTGTCCTCCTCTGCTTTGAATGTGAGGTCAGGCTTTTCGTTCTTTCTCTCTTCTTCTTATTCATTCCCTGCCTCTTCGCATATCTGTGTTTACAGTTGTGCTTCTATTAGAAATTCATGTAGAGCTTTATATGTGAAAGGCTGATTCACTCCGAGCGCGTAGATGAGCACCTGCCTTCAGCTCCTGGCACCATACGGGTGTAAGCACTGTGATTAATTCAACACAACGCAACTCCTGGCATATTTTCTCTTCCTTAAGCTCATCCCCCCTCTCTTGCTTTCTCTTTCTACTTATCCCTCTCTTTCTCTTTCTTTTTCGTTTTTTTTTTTGGTATCTCTTTCTCTTGCGTGGGGTTGTGCTACCCGTGGTTTGTAATGAAGGCCACACGAGGCCACTCACTTTGGAGCAGGACCCATGTCTGAGGTCGATGCAGAGAAATGACTTTAGAGGTGATGCTCCTACAGTGCTGCCTCTCTTTTTCATCACGCTCCTTCTTGGAAGTGTACAGCTCTCTTCCTCCGCCATTCTTCAAGTGTTGTTATTTTTTTTGATCCATCTCATTTCACTGCATTCTCATCTTCAACCCTCCCGTTTCTCGAGCTGTGTAATATCATCCCCCTTTATTTTGTACCTGCCTCCTTGAACCCTCAAATCTCATTTCCTTCTCTTTCATTCTACACTCCTTGTGAGCATATGTTAGGTGAAAAAAAAAACAAAAAAAACTCTGCCTCGCCTCCAACGTCATCAGGGAGAAACTTTTAAAATTACCCATCAGCCAAATGCAAATTACCTTCGATTAGCCCAGCATTGGCAGTAGCAGGCAGTAATCTGAGGTAATTTGAGAACGCCCAGCCTCACACAGATATCGACCCCCAGGTCTGATTTGAACGCACGCACAACATACCCGCACTGCTCTGCACATGCATACAATTTGCATACGCACAAACACTTTCAAGCATCTTATTATTGATTAATGCGGCCACCCACTTCCTCTCCGTCTGTCTCACCAGTCATACACATACTGTCTCATATGCAGACAAACTCTCATTCATACACATGAGCGCTGCCAGTACAGATTTGCTGACTAATTTAGAAGGTATTCGAATGTTGATGTGAGCCCGGCCTCCCGTTGCGGAGCATGTGATGCGTGAGCTCTGCAGGTCTCTGTTCTCTGGGATGAGCTCCAGGCAGCCACGGGGGAAAGTGCCGCATGTAGCATGACATTTTCAACCAGGTCATCAGCAAACACCTCCAGCCTTCTTCCTCTCCTCCTCTCCT